GTGTGAACCGGGTAACTTTTCCCAACGATAGATAGCGTGACAACCTTCTTAAGGGATTGACTCCATTTTTGATGTTTAGGTAAGAATAGTAGTAATAATGAATAAAAAGACCTAATTGAGTCAGACCAGAAGAGTCAAACATGCTTCACTTGGTATCAACACACTTAACTACATGCTTATGATTAAAAACAACTTCTTGGAAAGAAATAGCTCGAGTTAGTGACCTTCTGACTCTTGTGTTGACTTAAGCAATCATCAAGTGGTTTAGTCGAACCATTAGTGATTTTTAATCTTAAATTGTTGTGGGCCCTCGACTCTATCCTCTTTAACAATCCGGCTGTGTGAGAGGTGAGATGTTTTGTTGCAAGTCCAAGTACCCGTGCGAATGGTCTAGAACTTGCCCCGAATGTGTTTCTAGGCAAAATTTCAAGTTTTGCTTGGCTTGAGAAGTGATTGTAGACTCTCCTTGACCCGCTTGAAATTTTTCATGTCCCACCAATGTTGTTATCCCTAGTCAACCCATTAGAGCCTAAAACCTTTCTCATTTGATAACCATGTTACAAGCTTTTATCCATTTTGTAGTGACCCTCTCTTGACACACGAGCTTTCCTTAACACTCTTGGGATACGATTGGCTCAAACACAAGTTTGGGGGAGAGACGAGGAGTTGAAAAAGGTATCAAGGGGCACAAAAAGAGAAAAGAAATGAAGAAGAGGAAAGGCAAAGAAAAAGAAAGAAAGAATAAAAAGAAAAATGCAAAAAGAAAGTGAATAAGTTGAAGAATTGAAGGGATTCAAAGAAAAGTAACGATGCAAAGCATGGAGAAAACAAAGAAGGAGAAAATGAACATAATGACCAAGAAAGAGTGATGTTAAGTCTCTCTAGTTCCCCTAAGGAAAAAGAAAATGCCTCAAAGTGTCGGCAAAATATGAGCCAAAAAGAGAAGATGGAGTGCTTAAGGAAAGATGAACCCGTTCTATTCCAACATATCCAACCTTAGTCCAAAAGCTTTCATTACTTTGTAATAAAACCTTACGTGATTTCAAGCGGAGTGAACTTACATTAGTGGTAATTTACATGAGGGACAAGCATATGGTACTTAGAGTCGTACTTGTGACATTCTTTTGAGAGCGATGAGCGAACTTTTCACAGATCTTTGAATTGAGTGCTACATTCTTAAGTGAGATATGCTAACGGAGATTAGAGGAGGAGGAGTTTTGGGATCCACAATGACCTACATGAAAGAGCGAGCTTCCTTGATGAATAAAGTCAACTCGTGATGCTCAAGTGTCACATTAGAACTATTTGTGCTTAAAAATTCAAATTATTACCTTGGTGATAATTCATAAGTGTTCTGGGTAATTGTTGGTCCCAATTGATGTGTGATTGATGCACCTTAGATTAGCTGGAATAGCTCTTAACTTGTGCAGGTGAGAATTACCTTATTTGCTTGAGGACAAGCAAAATCTTAAGTTTGGGGAAGTCGATAAGTGGGGATTTTGACTAATTATTAGCGCATTTTAGCTTTCATTTTAGTCCAATAGTGTTTAATTGTATTCCGAAAAACTAATTAAAAATGAGCCACTAAGATGAAATCTGACTCAAGATGGAGTGATCTGAACTCAAGGACGAAATCAGGCACAAAAGCTCAAAGTGCGGACTGCAGATTTCCATCTGAGGCTGCAGATTTCCATCCGAGGCCGCAGATTGTGAAGGAAAGTTTATCAAAGACCAAGTGCAAAGTGAGGTCCACATGAAATGTGCGGCCGCAGAAGCCAGGCAAGAGCATAAGTTCAGTTAGTGTTCATTTCAAGCAGGAGGTGCGGATTGCACAATTATTGTGCGGCTGCAGAAGTCAGCTACGCGGTCGCACTTAGAAATGTTCGGTCAACAAAAAAGCCCTACACGGCCGCACCCAGAGATGTGCGATCCGCAGAATATGAGAGATGCGGCCGCGGTTCAGAATTGTGCAGCCGTAAAGATTCAATTTCTGTGAAGCTAAAGCAAAGTGCGGATCGCACATGGACTTGTGCGGCCGCAGAACCTCCGAAAGGGCATTTTTGTCCGTAAATTCCAGTTTTTTATATATAGAATAGGTTCACGAAATTAGGTCAAGTTTTGAATATTCAAAGTGCTGTAGCCATTTCTTCTTACTTCTTTAGGCAACTTTAGCTTATTTTGGTGATTTAACATTGGGTTTTTATATTTTAATCTTTCAATATGAGTTTTATTATGTTTTCTTCGTTGTTTTCTTCTATACCCTGAGTAGCTAGATTTTTTACTAGGGTTGTGACCCAACCATAGTGTGTAAACCTTATGGGTGATTAATTTTATGCTTGTTTATGAAGGGATATTTGTTATTTAGCTAAGTTCATGCTTCAATTGTGAAATTAATGGTTGCAAATATTGATTTATGCATATTTGACTTAGTCTCTTCTTGAGAAAGAGAGACCTAGTCTAGGTTAACTTAACTAACAAGAAATTGGTCAATTGAGAGATTGATTAACCCAATTAAAGGGTTCAACCTAGAGATAGTAACAACCCGACTTGAGCTCTTATCAACCGTTTGGTAGATACCCATTTGATCTTGAGAAAGCCAAATTGGGCAAAACCACTCTCTGACCGAGTGGTATTGAGTGGGCTACGTAGTGTTGTGAGCTATAACACACCCAGTCAATAAAACATCATAAAAATCTTTATCCTATTAGGCAAACACCTAGGTTATGGTCACAACCTTAGGCATGTTTATATCTTTAAAAAACATTCAAAAATAATCTTCTCTAGTTTTATACATTTAGAATTGCAATCCTTAGCGTATTTTAGAAGTAAAAATAATACCTTGTTTGTGGAAGTGCAATCTAGATACTTCACGTACTCACTCCAAATATATATTACTAATTCCCATCTTAGTTCCTATGGATTCGATCCCGACTCCTTGTTGAATTTTATTATTGCAAACGACCGTGTCATACCTCGTTAGAGGCGTGCATTTGGACGTGATCAGTACAAATTGGAGATTTGGGAGTCAATTTGAACTCGATTTTGGAATCTAATTACATATTTGGACTCGTGGGGTTATGGATAGTCAGGATCTATCCATTGACTCGAATTTTGACCATGTGGGCTTGGGTTGAATTTTGAGTATTTGATTAAAGATTGAAACTTTATTGTTTGAAATTAATTCCTATGGCTTTGTTTGACGTTATTGAGTTGTATTTGACTAAATTTGACTTGTTTGGAGGTTGATTTGAGAGAAAGCTATGCTGGAAGGTTGAGGACTATTGGGTGGAGGTAAATCTCTTGTCTATCCTTGTAAGAGAGAATTCTCCACATAGGTGATCTATTTGCTATTTGTTGCTTGGTTTAGGAGCTACGTTTATGCAAAATGATGAGCTTATATGCATCGCTAGATTATTACCATATCCGATAAATGTTTGGCTTATGTTTATGCCTTGTTTGGACTATGTGAACTTACTATTCATGCTTCATTGATTCTATGACTACGTGATGACTCGTATTTGTGGCTTAGAAGCACGTGTAGATTTATGACTTATTGAAAGTTGGCATAATTGATTACTTTCCATATTGAGCTTCCTTGTTGAGCCGTAGTCACATACTCGTCTTATTGCTTCATGCTTTAATGGTTAACTGGATTATTTCAAAGCTGAGCAATAGCAACCTGTTGGGCTTGTAGCATCTCGAATATTACTTGGAGGCTAAATCTCCCATCTTCTATACCCTGTGTTCCTTGGCCACCAGATCGGAATTTCCTGCGTATACTTTCACCGGGGTCTGCGCCTCAATCCGCATTCAAAGTAATGTGTGAACTAACATCGACTGGTTCCATATTTGGCACTTCCCCAGGGTTAATTGGTGGTACACCGGCTCCCGGAGCAACTACATTGATGTTTTCCCCATGAAATCTAAGACCATCATCACCGTGTATGGGTGCGTTTTGTGAGTTTGACATGTTTTAACCCGAGAACAAAAATTCTTGACAAGAACAAGTGTGAAAATAACATGTGTTATCAGAATCAGTGCTGAAATAACCACTATTATCTTTAGCCCCACGGTGGGTGCCAAACTAGTTACCTCGAAAATACGAGTAACAATTAGACTTCTTTGTGGTTTTAAAGATACGTGATTTAGTTCAATACTAATTAATAACCAAGATATCAGACATATAAATTAAAGAAAAAAGTTGAATCAAACCAGTGTTGGGCCAATCTTGACCTCGAGCTGTAATGGCCTCGAGGTTAGTCAATAAGAACAGTAAAGTAAAGACAATAAAGTTAAGAGACAATTCTGATAAGTAATGAGCAACAAAGTAAGAGAGTATATTCTTTTGCCAATGATTGATGATGGTTACAAATGATTGAGGTCCCCTTTATATAGTAGGGGAACCTTAAATAAGGTACATTTCTATTTACAGTAAAAAATCTCGTTGGGACAGCTGTCTAACCGCCTATTACGGATTCGTACTAACTCGTACAGATCTATTTCGGAATTTACGCCATGATCTTGGGGACGTGGCAGGAATCTTGCTCTTTCTGTTACAAACTCATAACGACATCATCTCGGGTTGGTCGTACTCGGTTTCGGTGCTCATTGCGTACTTTGATCTTCGAGCCTTATATTATATCGTCGGTCTCGAGCTTGGTCCCCTTGAACTCGATCTATCCTGAACTCAGACTTGAGGTTACTCTTCGAGCCCATGAAATCGGTCATACCTGATTTCGACCATATACAATAGCAAGTAGCATCGATATTGTTCTCAAAGCTTGCGACGTCAGTCATTCCTCCATCTTTTCAGCAACAAATGTAATAGCATCTGCTACTTATGAATTGAACTGAAAATATATAATTGACCAAAAAAACATATACCAATTAAATTAAGTTTGTACTAAACACGTAATAATGACTATATCAGGCACATAAATTTATACATGTTTCAATCTTTGCAATAGGACAAAGCCGAAGACAAGACTAAAAATTGGATCTCATTTTCGAAAACAAACAAGTCTATTCAATTTCTTTTCTCTTTATTACAATAACAACTGCTGAAGACCAAATAACAGTGTGAGTCACATTGAAAGGGATAGTAGCTACTTGGTTGGTGCTGTAATCACCTATGACCACAAAAATAACCAGACATAATACAAAACAAGAAATCCTCAAAACTGTTGAAAATGACACCATCTATACAAAACAAAGGAATCATTGTCAATCACCTAATTAATATGTTCTCCATAGTCTAATCCCCACTAATGTCTAATCTTATGTAACTAAACTCCACTTTACATCACAGATATTTTTAATTAAGAATACGAATCCAATCCAATCCAATCCTTATTCAAGCCACACTAATTATGCTATCCCCACTAGTATTGCCATTGAACCCACTTGACATTGACTGGAAAGCCGATGAATGCCTCGCCGGAGGCGATTTTTCGTCCGATTCTTGGACATATGTCTTGTTTAAATTGAGATTTGCCATTTTTGATGACGGAGGGAGAAATGGTATTGGCCTAATGGGCTTCACGGATTTGTTCAGTCCTATCGTTAAGTTATTCGCTGAGCTTTCTATGGTGTTTTGATTCATTTGCTTATCTTCCAATTTAACAACACTTTGAACCTGCAAAAAAAAGAAGAAAATTTTGGAATTCAAGAACCACAACTTGTATATAAACCACCTAGAGGGTGTTTGGCTAAGCTTATAAGCTGGTCAAACTGGCTTATAAAACACTTTTTGGCTTATGTACGCGTTTGGTAAAATTAAAAGTGCTTATAAGTTAAGTGCTTATAAGCCAAAAATAAGCCAAAAGTCATAAGTCGGTCTCCCCCAACTTATCAAATTTCAGCTTATAAGCACTTTAAGTTTAACCAAAATATTTACTATTCTATCCCTAAAATACTTCTTTTTAAAACAAAACTCTTCGTATACCCGGTTCTTCAGCTGCATATTAGTAATTTCAGCACTTTTATCCAAACACGTAACTGCTTATTTTTCAAATCAGTTTCAGCACTTAAAAGTGCTTTTCAACACTTAATACTTATCAACTACTCTAAATCAGCTAAGCCAAACGGGCTCTTGTTCGGAATTCTAAGTATAAATTATGAATGTACCTCTGAAATTATAAACAAATAATAATGAATCAAAATTACTCAAGGCTTACCATATGAGTGGTGATGTCAAAAAGACTAGATCTCCGGCGTCGGCGATTATTGTTGTTTCGCCGGAGAAAGTATTTCTGAGCATGACTGGCCACCTGAGTAGGAGTCCTTGTCTTGACAAAGTTTCTTGAAATTCCTCTCCAATCACCTTTCCCTACTTTCTGCAATCCTAATAAAAATAGTTTGTGCTCTTCCTCTGTCCATGGAACTCCTATATATATAAGCACCATCCAATTAATTAATCCAAAAAGATAAACATGAATCCAAGATTTTAATAACATAGGCAGATTCAGAATTTTAAAATCATGGATGCACAATCTAGTATCTATACATATATATATCTTTGAAAAGAATTGATCTCGGTAAAATGGGTAAGGTAAATATAGACCTCGTTTACGTTCACGGCTCCTAGCAGAAGGATGAACAACGTCATCAGAAACATAGCCGGCGGCGACATCGTCAACGTTGGAATCTTGGTGTTGCTTGTCAAATAGAGCAAGATTGTTCATGCTAGCACTTTTTCTAAAAGAGGTTCCAGCTTCCATCACTCTAACACCAAAGAGCATGAATCCTTTGCCTTTACCGGCAGAAATCTCCTGAAATTCATGCTCTTTGTTTCCGTACTGGTTAGACATGGTGGCCAGGCCTTTCTTGATACTACTATGTATATGGGTTTTGAGAAAGAAAAAAAAATGAATGATTTATTTTTTGCAGACCATATGTAAGGGAGGAAATGAGAAAGAAAAAGGAATGGGAATTTGCTTATTACAACACGATGTTGCTATTCGTAGCTAGTTTTAAGGTTGATGATAGGGGTTAAGGGGCTCAGTTGGATTTTTAATTAGCTGGTTTAGTTTAGTGATTACTGATAGTCACTGCTACCAAAGTCAATTTTATAGTAGGTTGTACCTGGTGCAGCGTTACTTCATGGATGCAACTTTTATTTTCCCCTTTTTTTTAATGGAGGAAAGAAAGGAAGAAGTAGGGCTGGGCATAATTTGGTAAATACCGAATTACTGTACTAAAATCGAAAATTTTGTTATTTCGTATACGGTATTTTGGTATTTGGTATGGTATTTAGGTTTAGTTTTAAAAAAAATTGGTATTAGATATGGTATTTGGTATTTTAAAATAAAATACCGAAATACCGATACCGTACCGAAATATATATTATATTACACAAAACACATATTATCAATTATAACATAAATATAAAAAATCTAAAATTTTACTTTTCTTTATTCTCAAAGTTCACCAATTAACTCTAAACAAGTAACAAGATATTTCTAATGATCAAATATTCTTTTATGTACAATTTTCTCTATTTGGGTCGACATTTGCTAGTTTTGGACAAAATTTTTGTCAACAAACATTTTCAGTTTTGTATTTTTGAGTACTTTAATTAAGAATATTAGAGTTTATGGCTCTATGCACTAGTTAGTATTCAAACCGAATAACCCGAAGTTACCGAACCAAATAAACCGAAACCGAAAGGAGAAAAACCGAACCATACCGAATTTAATTAGGTACGGTATTGGTATAGGATTTTAAGAAACCGAATACCGTAAATACCGAACCGAAATGTCTAAAATACCGTACCGTACCGACCGACGAACACCCTATTTGAATCATGTATCTCAATATTATAAGATGAAACTGTAACAATTAAACTGCAACTCCAAACAAAATTAACTCGAGCATTTACAAAAATGGCTTCTCCTTTTTTAAGCAAAATACTTTATTCATAATATTATTAAAACTTGAGTTAATTTTATTGATGGTCATTAAACTTTTGTGTTTGTTACCCAAAAGTGATTTTTCTTTTTTTTTATTACGTAAAAATTATTTAACTTTGTGTTTATTACTCAAAAGTCACTATTCTTTTTTTTTTGTTACACAAAAATCATTTTACTTTGAGTTATCACAAAAGTCACATTTGCTAGATTTTATAATATTTTTACTTGAAAAGTCTATATGCCCTTGATATTATATAAATCTTCATATTTATATAATACCTTCTATATTATATACTATATAATATATTTTTACTTAGGTATTTTATTTTGTAATTAAAATAACTTAATATTATTTTATTATTTTTATAATATATTCGTACATATAATTTTTCCTTAACTGATTTTATTTTTTATTTTTACATGTGTTTTATAAAATCTTGTCAAAGTGATTATCGTGTCATAGTAAAATCGTTTCTTTATGTTGTTACACAAAAATTATTTTACTATGGTCTAGTTATCACGATAATCACTTTAAGATTTTAGAAATCTTTCACCTGAAAAGTCTATTATGCCCTTGACAATATAAATCCTCCAATTTATGTAATACATTCTAGATTATATTATTTTATAATATATTAGTACGTTTAATTTTTCCATGATAATGAATTTGTTTAATCATATTCAAGCATGAACATATTTTCAAAAACGACAAAAAAATATTTATTAGAAATAACAAAAACAGATTTGTTTATCAAATGATAGTTTTTTTTATAGTAAGTAAAACTTTTAAATTTTTTTAAAATATATTTGAGTTTAATATTAAATTTTAAGCTTTATCTATTGATATTATTTATTTGAAACTGTTAATCTGATGTGTGAGTTTACTAGTTGGTATTTTATTTATTGGATTAACAAATATGGCTTGATTGATAAATTTGTGAGCTTTAATTTTATAATTCCTATTAAAAATATTTCATTAGGAGTGGTTAAGAACGTTGACTTGAAATTTGTTCATAGTAAAGTTATTGACAAATTTAATAACGCAACTAATATATCTTGAAAATTAACGTTAAGGAAAAATTAAATATACGAATATATTACAAAACTAATAAATAAAATAATATTAAGTTATTTTAGTTAGAAATAAAATACCTAGGTAAGAATATATTAGATAGTATATAATATAGAAGGTATTACATAAATATAAAGATTTATATAATATCAAGGGCATAATAGATTTTTCAAGTAAAAAAATAATAAAATCTGGCAAATGTGACTTTTGTGATAACAAGAAAAAAGTGACTTTTGGATAACAAATATAAAAGTTCAATGACCATCGATAAAATTAACTCTTAAAGCTTTTGTTTTTCCAGTTAGATCGAGGAAAGGCTGTAAAGTTTTCTTTTATATGGTATATATTTGCAATTATTAGTTTCCATTTGTTTGAATTTATTTGGAATAAGAGGGTTAAATTAAATAAATTTCGGTGTGAATTCGGATCTAAAATTTTAAAGCCTTTTGAAATAAAAATTTGTATATTGTAAAAATTATAGAAAAAGTACTATAAGTCTCAATAATTAAAAATATCTAAAACTATTTCCAAAAAGTATAATAAAAAACCTTGTTTACCCCTAAACAGTAATGAGTTCATTCTTTTTTAAACGGATGATGTATGTTACAAATCAATCCATCCAAAATTGTGTTTATAAGTAATGTAGGATATATGATACTATAACTATTAGATTGCGATTTTAATCACATCTTCTGAATCTGTAGTCAACGCTGTTCGACGAATAAAGAAAGGCGAGCAGTTCTGACAATTAGATTTGAGTGTAGCCCAAAGCGTTAGATCATATCTCAAATTGATGCAAACGCAATCTAGCTAACTCATCAACTTAACCAACAACTATCAACAAAGATTATGGTGGAATAATAAATACTCTTTTAATTTCAATTAAAGATTTCGAATTTAAATTCTTGGTATAGAATTACCTTTATTAGGAAGCTTTTTATCCCTTAATATAAAACTTTTCGATGTAAATACAAATACCAAATGCTAAATGAAAAAAATTCTTAACCAACAATTATGGAGAAGTTACGTTTTTGGCTTGAAATGCTTTGCTTCATAGTGGCATGAAAAGTGAATGTGAAAATTCAATAACAGTACCTATTAATATTATAGTACAATCATTTTTAAAATAGGCATGTGGCTAAATCAAACAAGAATAAAGGATGGTGGAAATAGAACAGTGACTCTCCACCATCAAAATGGTATATTCTCCTTACCTTTTGGAAAGATTTGCTTGTCTGTATTTTCTTTGTCCATTGCTTATTTATCTTTCTTTTTTATATCACATTTAACGGTAGGGGTTCATTTCTGAGGATGAGGAAAGTCATTAAGACCCCACTCGTCTAGTCTTTCTTCTTTTTCTTATCAAACCTTTTTCATTGTGTGGTTGTGGAGATATAGTGGATGTCCTTTTGGTTCACGGTTGCCTTTACTTTTTTCCTTTATAATCTATATGCAAAGTATAAACACCTTTGGACAAATCCATGCCATGTTCTAGTCTCTCTTAATTAAGTGTTATATGGAGTTTAACTTCTATATGTGGATAATAAAAAAAAATTACACCACTAGATTTTCAAAAAGATAATTATCCTTAAAAAGTGAAATTTGTAACATTAAAAATTAAAAAATATAAACACATTGATAGTTAACAATTCGGTTGGCCTGAGTGGTTTTAGTTTTGATGATTGACAAAGGAACACATGCATGAACCAAGTTCATAGACAGTGTACACAGGGCAACGTCAAATTCTAGGAAAAGGCGTGCACGTGCAAGGGATAAGTATAAGTGGTTATATCTGATAATCTGTCAGGACCCTAATTTTCCTCCGTAGAATGTCGTGATGGCACCTAGTCTCTAAGACAAGGTAAGCCTAACAAGCATGCAAAATAATTGAAACAGTAATCTAAAAGCTCAAAACGTCAACAACTGTATAAGGTAAAAACTGTATCTCAAAGTATATACAACTCCCAAAACCCGGTAGAAATAAGTCACAAGCTGTAGATACAATGTTGCACAATACTATACATCATCTCTATCAAGAAACATAGAAGAAATAGGGAAAAAGACGGGATAGAAGGGGACTCCGAGGGTTGCGGATGCGGGCAGGTGTACCTTGAAGTCTCCAAGCAGCAACGTAACACTCTAGTAGCGAGGTTGATAGGATGTACCTGGATCTTCACAAAAAGATGTGCAGAAGCGTAGCATGAGTACACCACAACGGTTTAGTAAGTGCCAAGTGTCGCGCCCCTTTTTTCCCTCATCGCAGAGAGAGGTCCTGGTTTCGACATTCCATGGGGTATGATAACTATTTTCCTTTTGGGAATTGGGTATTTGAAGAGTCGCCACCTAACGGATTATGGTGCGTTAGGGCACCTAGAGCGATTAACTCTTCCTCACTTTTCCTTCCAGTTCCAACAGGCTGTATTCCAGGTATTCAAGCTTCTCGCTAGATTTGGCGGCCCTCTCTTTCCATTCATTGATTTGGTTTCTTGATGGAAGATTCCTCCACCAGTCTAGAAAGAGTGAGGGTATGCTAACCATACCGAAGCTGGGACCTTGTGCCTTATTATTTGCAAAACAAAAAGGGTTAGGCCCTTCTCCCCCACCAGACTCGACTATTTATACATTTGTGATCAACATATTGGCATTTAGTTCTCCAAATTAATGCACAGAACGTGGTTGTGTCCGTTGGGATTATGGAAAACCCGATGGACTTTGGATAAGGCTTATCTTAAAGGATCATTATGCGGACAACATAACTGATCCGACTAGGTTTGACCATGATGCATGCACAATTTTAACTAGAGTAAGATTTCTATGGGGTTTTAGACTGGTACCCTCGAGCGAACAACTCGAGGGGGAAGGCACGAAACCATCGATTGCACAGCTGATCGACTAGTTTTACCGCAAATAAGCCTTTCCGAATTTAAGGGTAGTAAATAGGAAGAGAGCAACCACTCATTAAAGCGTTGCTATAGGATTTGATACGCACGAGTGGAGTATGATGTGGAGCATGATTTATGCAGCTAGTAATAACACGTAGTCAAGTATGTGCACGTAAG